CATACTGTAGCCATCTGGGTTTGTATAAGTACACTCTCTGACATTATATCTATATATATCTATATATCTATATCTATCTATATATCTATATCTATATATATATATATATATATATATATATATATCTATATATATATATATATATAGAGGACAACACAAGTCTTCCATCTTGGAAACTGCCTAAGGACGCATTTCTCAGAACACCTTAAGTGATGCGACAAGGTATGCTCACACCGCAAAGTTAGTTCACAGACTGAAAGAGGATCCAGTCAAGAGGTGGTTCCCTTGGAAGAGACAGGAAGATGTTTCCTCTGATCATGAGTGTTTAGTATGGAACTCTCTGCTCTCTCAGCTTCTCTGAGTCCTTTAGTTAGTTATAACAGGAAGTCCATTGTAATTGACATATCTGCTATCATTTCCATCTGGAATGTCTCCCAAAGGCCCATGTGGTGAAGAGAGTAGAACTATTGGGAGGTGGTGAAACTCTGGGAGGTGGGACCTAGTGGAAGGAAGTTAGGTCACTGGGTGTATCCTTCAAGGGGATTTTGGGACCGTAGCCCCTTCCTCTCTCCCTCTTTGCTTCCTGGCTACCTCTTATTAAGTGAGCAGTCTCCTCCACCATATACTCCCTGATGTGATGAGATTCTGCCTCCCCACAAGCCAGGAGACAATAGGTCCAAGCAACTATGGACTGAAACTTTGGAAACAGTGAACTACAATAAACCTTTGCTCATTATAAACTGTTAAAAAGCCGAACACCACAAGATTTATGCACACATGTGTGTGTGCATGTGCATTTCTGTACATTTTCTGCAAACCCTCACATAACCCCTGAGGGGTGGTGAACACACAGCTGCTTTCTTTATCCACATAATACCAGTGTGGATCCTTCACTACTTCTGTGTTATGTGGCCCTGGGGCCCCGTTAGCTCCAAGGTGGCTAAAGGGACAGGGGCTGGGTGCCTGTGGAGTAGCGAACATGGAGCTCTCCTGAGCAGCAGACCCGGCTCATGCTGGGCCCAGGTGGACCACACCACACACTGGACTTCTCACCACTCTCCCCTTAGAACATGAGCACAGAGATCATCTACCCGGGACCTACGACTTTAGAAGTCCTCATCTCATGGTCACTGCCCCTCCACGCTCACACAGCCCTCAGCAACAAGGGAACTCTCATGTTGAGAGTCCCACATGCACAACTCCTGCAGGAAGATCCTGGCCATGTCCTGCATTTTGGTGGACTTCCCACACCACAGATTCATAGCCTCATCATGTGGCTTGCTGGCCAGTTGTGATGCAGTATTCAGACTCACCCTTCTGAGCCCGGTTTAGGATTCTGAGTCAGCCAAACTCAGTGTCACTGACTAGTTCTCCAAATTGTCCCTTCCTCTTCTTACCTTGGGCTATTTACTCACTTCTTCAGTAGCCACCTTATGTTCTCCCCTCCAATACAAGAAAACACAGTGTAATCGACAGACAGGATTTAATGCTTCATGTTAACAGAGACCACTGGAAAAGAGCTCTGCTGTCAAAAATCTGATAATCCAAGTCAGGCACAGCGGTGCCCTCCTGTAATCCCAGAAGCTGGGGAGGCAGAGGCAGGAGGATCACAAGTTCAAAACTAGCCTCAGCAATTTAGCAAGGCCTGAAGCAACTTAGTAAGATCCTGTCTCAAAATAAAATGTAAAAAGGGCTGGGGATGTGGCTCAGGGGTTAGGCATCCCTGGATTCAATCCCTGACACCCCCCACAAAAAAATTGATAATCCAGTTTGGGAAAAGGTGACAGAGATCTGCCTGGAAGTCTTTATGATTCCTGTATACACTATGGATCTTTTTTCCAAAAGTTTTTAGGTGTAATTGTTTTAATATGTTGGTATCATGAAAGATTTATACAATGAAAACTACAGAACCCTAAACAGAAAAATAGAAGAAGATCTTAGAAGATGGAAAAATATACCCTGTTCATGGATAGGCAGAACTAACATCATCAAAATGGCGATATTACCAAAAGTTCTCTATAGGTTTAATGCAATGCCAATCAAAATCCCAATGGCATTTCTTGTAGAAATAGATAAAGCAATCATGAAATTCATATGGAAAAATAAAAGACCCAGAATAGCAAAAGCAACTCTAAGCAGGAAGTGTGAATCAGGCGGTATAGCGATACCAGATTTCAAACTATATTACAGAGCAATAGTAACAAAAACAGCATGGTACTGGTACCAAAACAGGCGGGTGGACCAATGGTACAGAACAGAGGACACAGAGACTAATCCACAAAGTTACAACTATCTTATATTTGATAAAGGGGCTAAAAGCATGCAATGGAGGAAGGACAGCATCTTCAACAAATGGTGCTGGGAAAACTGGAAATCCATATGCAACAAAATGAAACTGAATCCCCTCCTCTCGCCATGCACAAAAGTTAACTCAAAATGGATCAAGGAGCTTGATATCAAATCAGAGACTCTGTGCCTGATAGAAGAAAAAGTTGGCTCCGATCTACATATTGTGGGGTCGGGCTCCAAATTCCTTAACAGGATACCCATAGCACAAGAGTTAATTACAAGAATCAACAAATGGGACTTACTTAAACTAAAAAGTTTTTTCTCAGCAGAGAAACAATAAGAGAGGTAAATAGGGAGCCTACATCATGGGAACAAATCTTTACTCCTCACACTTCAGATAGAGCCCTAATATCCAGCGTATACAAAGAACTCAAAAAATTAAGCAATAAGAAAACAAATAACCCAATCAACAAATGGGCCAAGGACCTGAACAGACACTTCTCAGAGGAGGACATACAATCAATCAACAAGTACATGAAAAAATGCTCACCATCTCTAGCAGTCAGAGAAATGCAAATCAAAACCACCCTAAAATACCATCTCACTCCAGTAAGATTGGCAGCCATTATGAAGTCAAACAACAAGTGCTGGGGAGGATGTGGGGAAAAGGTTACCCTTGTACATTGCTGGTGGGACTGCAAATTGGTGCGGCCAATCTGGAAAGCAGTATGGAGATTCCTGGGAAAGCTGGGAATGGAACCACCATTTGACCCAGCTATTGCCCTTCTCGGACTATTCCCTGAAGACCTTAAAAGAGCATACTACAGGGATACTGCCACATCGATGTTCATAGCAGCACAATTCACAATAGCTAGACTGTGGAACCAACCCAGATGCCCTTCAATAGATGAATGGATAAAAAAAATGTGGCATTTATACACAATGGAGTATTATGCAGCACTAAAAAATGACAAAATCATGGAATTTGCAGGGAAATGGATTGCACTAGAGCAGATTATGCTAAGTGAAGCTAGCCATTACCTAAAAAACAAATGCCAAATGTCTTCTTTGATATAATGAGAGCAACTAAGAACAGAGCAGGGAGGAAGAGCAGGAGGAAAAGATTAACATTAAACAGAGACATGAGGTGGGAGGGAAAGGTAGAGAAAAGGGAAATTGCATGGAAATGGAAGGAGATCCTCATTGTTATACAAAATTACATATAAGAGGTTATGAGGGGAATGGGAAAAAAAAACAAGGAGAGAAATGAATTACAGTAGATGGGGTAGAGAGAGAAGATGGGAGGGGAGGGGAGGGGGGATAGTAGAGGATAGGAAAGGCAGCAGAATACAACAGTCACTAATAGGGCATTATGTAAAAATGTGGATGTGTAACTGATGTGATTCTGCAATCTGTATTTGGGGTAAAAATGGGAGTTCATAACCCACTTGAATCTAATGTATGAAATATGATATGTCAAGAGCTTTGTAATGTTTTGAACAACCAATAAAAAAATAAAAATATAAAAAAAAATAAAGAACTGGGTTCTGAATGCTTTGTACCAGGAAAGAACATTCTATATACTTTATACTGAAAGGCTGGCCTCTTCTACAACATCTGCCTGCTGAAGCCCCAAACTTCACCTGAGTTTTAATGCCCTCAGAATTCGCACTCCATCTCTGGGTACCTCCTTCAGTCCAGGTGTATTTGGCATTGTAATAATTCCTTTTGTTGAAATGTCACCCCACATAGCCTAGGAAGGGCACACATTTGACCAGCACAAGCAAGGTAGTGTCCTGTGATGCCCAGGGACACATGATAGGTGCCCCAGGCACTGGGCAGAGATACCACATTCCTGAGTCACTGAAAGTTAAGCGATGCACAAGAGTACAACACTGGTGCTATTGCCAACACTGGCTTTTAAATATTGAACATCTGGATACAACTAATTTGAACCAAAAAAAAAAAAAAAAAGAAACAAAAAGAAGAAATAATGTCCTTCCCCAAAACAGGACTGATTCTCAGTCAGTGGCTGAGAAAGATGAAAGACCAGAATGACCGAAGGAGCCCTGAGTCGTCTTCTTTGAAATCCACCCCCACTTGCTTCTTTCAGTCACCCCAGCAGGCAGCTGTCCTTTCATTCCTTTCCTGCTTCACGGGTTACTTGTGACCCACATTATATGTTCCATGGATGAACAGAGAGCAATGTAGGTGAGGCAGACTTACAACAATTGACATTACAATGATACAGCCATGGACACCTATATAACAAGCAAACAGAAATAAACTCCAAAGGTCTGTCACTCGCAGGGCCACACAACAGGAGGACAACTGTTTGTGACCATTGCTTGGCATTCCCCACACTCAATCAGGAAGGGAGAGAAGATAGAAACACACACACACACACACACACACGTACAAACGTCAGGCAAGGAGGCGCACAGTAACCACCATTACCTAATTTCACCAAACCTGATACTCATGAACACCAAGCACAGTGGTGCATGCCTGTAATCCCAGCCACTCAGGAGTCTGAGGCAGGGGGATCATGAGTTCAAGCCCAGCCTCAGCAACTTAGCGAGGTGGTAGGCAACTCAGGATACCCTGTCTCTAAATAAAATACAAAATAAAAGGACCTGGGATGTGACTCCATAATTAAGCACAGCTGGGTTCAATCCCTGATACTGGGGGAGTCGGGGGGACTGCATCACACATAAGGCACGGCTTCTGGGTCTCTGGAAATATGGGGAGATTTTCATCTTCTGAGCAGACAGCAGAGTTTTTCTGAGCTAACTGTGAGCAGGCTGTCTTCTCTGCGCCTCCCTCTCAGTCACTACACGGGAGCTAACAGCACGCACCTTCTCCATCTGCACTCAGGTTCTCGTAGGAGTCCCAGCAGATCAATGGGTGTGCCGTGTTGTAGTCCACAATCACTCCGTGGTCATTGTGCAGATGCTCACAGCCTGTAGGGGCACAGCAGGACATTAGTCCCAACAAAGCCCAGTACTTCTGTCATTCACCTGACCCTGAGGAATGAGGGCAGCTGAGCTGCCAGATTTGAGCATGAAAGTGAAGCTCTGTGTTCACAGTCCCTCTCCAATCATGCATGGCACTAATCAGAGATGCAGGCACAATTGTTAACAAACTGAACAACAGCTAAAATCTCTCAGTGGAAAGGCAAGGTGAACATCGGTCATTCGTGTACTGTGCCAGACTCTGGTCTCTGAGCACCACTTTGCAACAAGAAGCCCTTGGTGGAGACACAGGCATGCCTTTGGGTGGCATTCCGTCTCAGAAAGGATGACTTTGAGGCTCTTGGATCATAAGTCCATATTCCTGTCTTTAGTCATTCTAAGAATGCCAAGAGGATTTTTAACACACAAGCCTTGCATTTAATAATTCCTGTCTAAATCTATGACAGTGAGCCTAGAAAAAGGTGACTGTTTTCCAAGTTGTTAAAAGGGAATTAAAACTTTCATGCAAGTGGAATTTTCAATTATCATCTTGATGATAGAAGGTTTGCTTTTTAAAAATGTTTTTACGAAATAGGAGAAATTGTTTTGCACTTAGATATTTGCAGTCTACCGTACTTAAAATTCTCTTCTAAAGTGTTCATTGTTTGTTGAAGACAAAAGTAAATATTTAGCATAATTTACCAGGAAATGGAGGGTGGATCCTCAGGAACACCAGTGAGCTCTAGAGAGTTCCTGCCCTCCTTGTTGAAGTAGTTTTGGGCAAGTCATGTCACTTCTGGCTCTTACTGACAGAAGTAGGCTTGAGCTCTCTGAACTGCCTCCTCCCCACTGTCCAGTATCCTACTTTTTAAAGTTTAATTACAAACGTTTCCAAGTACTCCTGCTGCCCAAGCATCTTGCTTGGCTACCCACCTTGGATCTTCTCAGGTGTGGCCGAGAAGACTAACTCAATCTTCCCATAGTCTGGAAAACGGTCATCTGAAAAAACACATTTGGAGCTGATGAACTGCAAAAGCAGAGGATGGTTTTCTTCTTGTATTCCAATCAGAGCTGCAATGGAAACACCTCATGGTACACAGCATCCCAGTTTCCCTGAACTCTTTTCTACGACAGATCAGTAACAATTAAATTTCGCCGGCAGGCTGAATTTGGGGAGAGGGTTAGGAGGATGCATGCCCACATGAGCAGGGCAAGCTGCTCCATTCCCTGTGACCTCCATACGCTCTGAGGCCACCAGCTCCATCTCACCTTTGCAGGCACTGTCCAAATCCTCCTTTCCAAACACCAGTCCGTAGCCCTGCACAGCCCCAGTGTGAAACTGAAGGTGGAAAATGACATCACGGGTGGCCGAACGATACTTCTTGTGGTAGCATTTCACCTGGTTACAGAAGGGAAGAAAAAACAAGTGACTACTGAGCATAAGAGCATGAAACTATCAAGGATGATGCTCCACCTGCATTGGTGTGCATGGCATGGGCCCCTCTGAACTGTTGTAGCAAAGAGTTCACATCTACATGGGCTGGAACTCTGACCCTGGACAAGGGTGTTGGAAGATGCCATGGTGGCATCTCTCATTGCAGCTGCTGCAGTGATGAATCCTTAGGACACCTCCCAAGATCCTTGTGCTGTTTCAAAGGAATCAAAGTCCTGAAACACCAGGGTCTTCAGTCCTCAGGTGGGCCATGCCCACCCAAATAATTGCAGGGCACAAGAATGTGTCATCTGAGGAATAAAATTTGGTGGCCTCTTTCTCCTCAATTTTAACAACTGATTGTGATAAAGTTTTTCTTTCATCTAAACTCAGGTTTGGATTAAGGCCTTTCTGTTTTCACCAAGAGGCAGAAGCTGGGCTTTACAGAGCATGGAGGAGCTATAGGGAGAGAGGAAGAGAAATCAAGAGAAAGAGGAGAGATGGCGGAGATGGACAGAGAAATAGATATTTACAGAAAACAATAGAGAGACAGAGACAAAGAGAAAACATGTGGTATTTAGTTTCCTGTGCCTGAATGTCTGGATGGCCTATAAGTGATCATTTTAGGAGAAACCTTCACAATTACCCTGTTATGATCCGAACTCAGGATGCAATGCCCAGCCATAGATTTTGTGATTTACTAGGTCCCTTGGGTGCTAATTAATCCCCCTGGGTGGCATGCCAATAAACAGAGTGGAGGGATTAGTGGGAGATGGTGAAGACAGCCCTCAGCATCATAAACCATCTTTACACCAGGGGCCTCGCCACATTAGGCCACATGCTGTGGGGAGATGGCAGAGATGCTTCACTCAAATGACAGGGGCAAGACTACTTTGCCAAGGTCCAGAGCATTCAGGGTAAACTAGGCTCTCAAATCACAGAGTGTTCAGGGAAGGCACATCATCCCATGGGAAACTGAGAGTGGGAGAGGGTTGGCTACCAGGGCAGCCACTTTTCCTAAAAGAGACTTTTTGGGGGGGAACAATGGCTTTAAAATAGGACATGCTTCACAAACACAAATGACTGAACTTCTTCTCATCCATCAGGGGAGGCAACAGAACCCCCTCCTGTCCTCCTGACCAACTCAGAAACTTGGGGAAAGACAGAAACTGCATTATTTTCCCTATCCAGGGAAAATTTTCCCAGATACTGGTTCCTAGTGGCCATCACCAGGAAAACAGGTCAGACCTGGGAATGAAACATCCCAAAAGCTAAGACACCACCTCAATGGTATCTCTAAGATTACCGCCAGAGGGACCAGTACTTATGCATTACTAATGTCAATAAATAATTGTAGCATCCGTGGCCAGAGATCAGAACTGTATTCATAACACTTAACAGAAAGAACAACACTGTATTTGACATAGGTCCCAAAGGCCTCCCTTTAAGATATAAGGTAGTGCAAGCACTTTATAAAAGACTGGAGCAAGGAGCTGAGGTCTGAAATTTCCCCCTTCAGCCGTCTGGCTTTAGTAGTTTTATCAACCTGGATCTCTCTAGAATGTTTCTAGAATATGTTCATACTCTGCCTTTGTATTTTAAAATATCTACATTTAGAACAACAATTGCAATCATGATTTCATGGTATGGGGAAATAAAATAAGAAACGGCCAACACTGTATCAAGTGACATGAAGCATCTGTCAACATGCTGTCACAGACAGACCCACATGAGTAGCATGTGGGTGCTAATACTGACAGGACAACTTGCTGGGGAGCCCTTCAGAACTTGGGCATGTTGTAGGCTTTGTAGACTTTATATTCTCTGGCTGTCAAATGGATATTGTAACATGGGCTTATTTTGTTATACAGATTAAATGGGCACTACACAAATACAATCTGTAATTCCAAGTATCTGTGACATCAATCACATTTATATGTACAGTCAGCCAGGTCTTTATCTGTGAGTTCCACAACTGCAGATTCAACCAACCACAGACAGAAAATATTTGAGGAAAAAATATACATCTGTACTGAAAATATTCAGACATTTTCCCCTTGTCATTAATCCCTAAATGACACAGTAGAACAACTATTTACATGCAATTTACCTTGTATTGGGTATTATAAGTAATCTAGAGATGCTTTAAAGTATACTCAAGTACTGCATCATTTTGTATGGGACTTTAGCATCCTCAGAGTTTGGTATCCACATGAGTCCTGGAAACAGTCCTCTGTAGATACAAAAGTGATGTTGTATGTATGACTTAAAGGGAATAAGTTTCTGGAAAGAGGTTCTTGGTACTCAAAAATGCCATATGAGTAATTATCTACAAGAGAATTTCTCCATGCAAATTACCCTCCTATTGCCTGACAATGCAATTTGGAAATCTTAGCCTAATCTTAACAGATAAAAGATATGTCTGTGCCCAGCCAGGTGTGATGGTGCACACCTGTAATCCTAGTAGCTCAGGAGGCTGAGGCAGGAGGATCACAAGTTCAAAGCCAGGCTCAGCAACTTAGTGAGGCCCTAAGCAACTCAGTAAGACCCTGTCTTAAAATTTAAAAAAAACAATAGGGCTGGGGATGTGACTCAGTGGTTAAATGTCCCTGGATTCAATCCCTGGCATAGCATGCACACACACACATAAAAAAGCCTATCCTCTAACTGAAGGTTACAACAATGATAATTATGCACCAAGCCCTGCTTTGACCTGTCTGCCCTGAGAGTATAGCAAATCTAAAGGCAGCATGTGGAATTCTCATGAAGGGAAGGAATCAATCAGTCAAGTGTTCACAGACAGCCAATAGGTTTGCTTCCTCTTAAGCTTCTACCCGGCCCTCGCCCCTAGCCACTGTGGAGGAGCAGTGCCTATTCAGATCCAACTTCCCTTATATCTTCTAAGTGAAAAAAGCAGGACCTGGAAAGCATTCCCACCAGAAATGAAAGTCACACCCTTGTCCAACTCTGCTGGTGGAACTGCCTTAGGGAGATTTGAGGAGTCTGTATCCTCAGGGAATAAGCTATAACTACAGATGTGAATGTCAAAGATAGATAAACCATCAATCAATCACCTACACCAGGAAGGCCAGCAGGAACTGTGGTCTCCCTTGGAGCTGAAAATGCTTCTAAATGGCTACAATATTATAATTCTTGACCTCCACACAATGAAAGGTGAGTGGATACTGGCTGTGAATGAATACCCAGCTGAGTCATGGTGTTGAACTGACAGAATAGATAAAGAACTGGCCCAGGGCTAGAAGAGTGCTGGTGTAATGAAGTAGAAAGAATATCACAAAATACAACAGCTATGAACACAATAACCGAGTTCTCCCCTGGGTAAGTCTCAGAGGGATGCTTCCAACTTCCCTGCTATAAGAATCACAAACAGAGGTGCTATGTGTTTCTGCAGCCTCTTGAGGAGGCCTCACCTGTGTTTACAATCCTGGTCACTGGAGCAAGGTCATGAGGTCAGCAACCATGACGACAAAATACAAGTGGCCTTTGGTTTGCCCAGTCAGGGGCAGCAAGATGGAGCATGACGGACAGAAAAGTGCTTACAAGCCCTGGACCTGCACACTGAAGCCCAGAGGGGGCAAGCTGAATCAGGCCCATGGCTCCCCGCCAGGTTCCTGCTTGGCTTCTGCCTGTGTGAATTCCTGAGCAGGTTACATAATGATGGAGCTGCCCTCACCAATGCTCTGCCTCCTACCTGACAATAGCATATTTACTGAGCCTCTTGAGGTCCTGCCTTTTTGGAGTAGTGCACTGGAAAATCTGACCTTGAAAGAAAAGTACATTGCAAAGATAGAAGGGATCAGGGGTGCAGCTGAGAAGGGCCAATGGGGACAGCAGGCCATGTGGAAGCCAAGGCAGATGAGAGATCAGTGTCAATTCACTATCACCAAGAATGTCACCATCCACTGATTACTGAAGTCGAAGGAGTAACTCATTTTTCGAACAAGTCTCAATGCAGAGTTCTTCATGAAGAAAGATAAACTTACCTGAACACAATTTGATTTGACAAATTTGACTCACTGAAAGAGAATAAGATGGCTTTTGGAAGGAGGAGGGAAGAGGACTGTGAGCCAGCCTAGGAAGAGACTTTCCACCTTCTATAGCACAGAGGCCACTTAAGAAAATACTCAGAAAGAGAGAGCTGGAGCCTTCAACTGGTAAATCTATCTAGACAGGCACTTTCTGCTCCTCAGGGCCCTTTCTAAGGCATATTATAGCCAAATTCTTCTTGAGAAATGAAACCACCTGTGCACTTGAACCTTACAGAGAAAAGGCCCTGGAACTCATCTCCCCACTCAAAACTCAGAAGGATGACCATGCAGAGATAGGAGAAGTGCAACCTTAAGGTGTGACTTCAGGTTTTGAGTGCAGGTGCACATCAAGCAGTAAGAGGACAAAAGTGAAGGACAGGGAACGCAAAAGCAGGAGGGCTGCTGTGTTTTATGTGGCCATTTGGGTTCACTTGGAGATGGGGCAAGGCTGGGGAGGAGGAATTGGGGGCTGCATTTGAAAACCTCAGAACACCAGAACCAATTCAAGCAGTAGGAAAGGGTAGACTCCTGACACTCTCCAGGGAGCCCTGCCAACAAGGGACAAGACACACCATCGTTTCTTCGCTGTGTTGGCCCCGTAGATGGTTTTTACATGAAACAAAAAGCACTGGGGTTTTAAAGCTTCAGCACAACACAGACTCCATAGACTATAATATGTGCATGACTGTGACACTCAGGCTTCTCCCCTTGAGCCAACTGCCACCACCTGATCTGCCTTGAAGTCACACCCCACAGGACTCTATAAAGAGTCTTGTCCACCCCAATTTGACTTCAGCTCTTAGGTCTCTGCAAAAACCAGTTCTAATTGTGCTAGTTATCTTTATGTTCCTCTTAATGAACAACTAGAATCTAACTCTTGGGAGTAAGTTCTGTGTGTGGCTTACTTCCACATCTACC